GATAGAGTAAGCAATTTGTGGAAGACAGTTGACCTCAGCCACCACATAAACAGCAGAGGGAAGTTTATGAGGATTTTCTGCTTTTTAGCTTTTCTTTGGTTGCTTTGACTGGGGTGTTGCCCAGCCTTCTGTTTCACTTCTCTTTGTTTGGTTTTGTTGGGGTTTTTTTTGGTATACTCCATCCCACCATGTAAAAAGATGCTCTTTGAGTTTGTGAAGTCTGTTCATAGCTGGCTGTTTGCTGGCTAAGGGGGAATCAAGGTGAAGGTGACCAAAGGAAAGTTGCAAATTGCTTTTGATATCATCTATAAAATAAGAAAGCCCAAGACAGTCTAAGAGGATGTGGTTATTTGATTCATGTGGGGAAACCGAAGCTGAAGCCACATGCATCACTTTCTGAGGATGCATCTAATTCTCTTCTTCCTTTCCATGGCAGATTTTAGAGTGCTTAATGGGGGAGATAAGATCATGTTCCCATTTTGATAGATGAGACAGCAATCAGCTGAGGCACACGGAGGAGAGCTGGGAATGGGGACCAGGAGTGTCCAGCCTTGCACTGCTGATGGCTTCAGCTCTTCAGCCACACTGGCTGCCTTCAGTCTTCCGCTCTTCCCCAGGGGAGCTGGGTATGGATGTTGCAAGCATTTGCTGCAATGTCTTGGCACCGGCCTTTGTCTGCAGGATGCACCTTTCTTTAACCCCACTGCAGGCTGAGAGTAGAAGAAAGGCTTTTCCACCCTGTCTCTCTAGAAAAGACATTGTTTGCTTTTTCTTTTTTTTTTTTTTTTATAATTTTCAGCATCTCTAGAGAAAGTGGGGGAAGAAAGAATGGTGTTTCTATATTTGTATATTAATCATAAGATTTCAGAGAACTTTGGACCAGCCAAGCTATTTTAAGTTTGTCAGAACTTTGTTGATATTTATGAAAATACTGGGAAGTGGGGGTATTGGGTGCTTGAGAAATGTTTGTTGTCACCATCTTTAACTCAAGGTTTTGCTTTCTACTAATATTGCTCTTGAGATCAGAGGCCAGGCGTAATTTGGATTAAGGAAAAGAGAAACAGAGAAGAAATACTGAGCAATGTCTGCATGCAAACAATTTGTGCACTAAGGAGACTTTATGTCCTGGTAGGGAAAAGTAGGGCCCTGGTTTAGAAAATCATTTAAGAATGTGGAGTGAGCCCTACAGAGCCCATTGACTCATTGACTGAAAGGGATTTCCGCTCCTACCCACACCTGAGTAGGCTTGAGAATAAGAGGAGGGGGACTTTTTTATTATTACTTCAGGATTTTTCCCCCACAGAGCCAAGGTGAACTGTGGGAGTATTAAATACTGCAAAATTACAAACACAGAAGCATTCTTCCAAATTACTAGGAAACCTCTTCCCACAGCATGCTCTGTTTGCACTTGGGAACAGTAAGTCAGATACTTAGCTGGGCAGACCAAATCATATAGAGAGCTTGTGAAAATAATTATCTCTACAATTCCAGCTTTTGTTTCACAGCCCTTAAATATGCACTGAATTTTCGCTCTGAAAATTCTGAGCCAGAACATGATTTTGCTGGGAAAATTGCATATAAAACCTAATTAAAAGCATCAACCCACACTTTTCTTTTAAAAGTACATCTACTACCATCATGCCTCTAAATGTAACAGAGCTCAACAAGTCTCTAGCAGCCAAGGAAACACATAATTTAAAGGCTATTTCGGCATTTGATTAAGCACACAGTGATAACTACAAGCCTGTGCCCTGCAGGCATGACAAGAGGCAATTATGTTCTGAGGTCAAAAGCGAGGGGGAGAAAAAGCACAAGATTTTGATGACTTACTTAATTTTCCAGCTCCTGAAATTAGCAGAGACAAAGGAGTTCTAAATCGCCCAGATAAAATCCTGTCATTATCTGTTGCCTTTTCACCCTCTGCTCTCACTTTGCCCTGCAGAAGCTCAGGAGGATTATTTTCCACCGAATGGCTGCACTTAAAAAACTCGAGTTGGCACACATTTAAACGTTAAAGAATTTGAAAAACACTCTTTTTAAGTTCTGTGTTTAGATGGCTGTCTGCACATAGGATCCTGGAAAAAGACACCTGTTTTTCAAAGTAGTGAGCTGCCATCAGCTCCTCTTGACTTCAAGCCAACAATTAGGTCACTTATTTAGGAGATTAAATAAGGAGCTCAATGAGACACTGTGAAGATAGGGAGCTGCTCGAAGAAGAGAGAACTGTATTAATGAATTAATACAATCGTGCTGTGTATTTCACAGATGGGCTTTGATGTATCTTGTTTCACAGCAAAAAGCAAAACATCTTTGCTCCTTACAGGAAAACCAGTAAAAATTATTAAGTAAGATTATCATATAGGGGCACAACAACAAAAAAATGTGTTTACAAGGAGATAAACAGCCAGGCTCTAATCTCCCTTCGGAGTATTTATTGCAGATAGTGAGGCAGAAGAAAATACCATGCAAAGTGAATGATTTGGTGGTCAATGGCGGGAAGGAAAACATGCCTATTGCTTTAGGAGAAAGCATGATAGCAGATCATGCTCTATTACAATATTCAGCTGCTTCTGGTTTTACCAGGGTGTTAAATTTTTTCTGCTTTTTATCCAGAAAATAAATGTAAATGTTGACTCCATGATACCACAGGGAGGTGTCTGTATGTGAAAGCTGTCCTTCTCAGAGCAAGCAGTCAAGTGATTATGTGAAAGGCAAAAAGGTGAATTCCAGGAAGCTTAAAGCTGAATCTAGAAATGTTTGCATCTGTCCAGAGATTCTTTACTGGAGAGTAGAACATGAGCTGTTATTTTGGGGAAGGAGTGTTCAGCTTTGGTTTGGGGTGTTTAGGGGGCATCCGTGGGACTGATATGCATCCAATTTTAGTAGATCAATGCTGTAAAGTCTCATGGACAGGAGATACACCCATGATACTAAAAATATGTTCTTGTTTGAGGTAGAGAAATACTTTTAATAGTTTTGTAAATTGCTGTTAGCAATTCTTAATGTCTTATTTCCAGCATAACACAAGATTTAAAGTTAGCTGCGTTTGTACAGTATTGTTTGACAAATTCACCAGGTTTTTATGAGTGAATTCTCAGGCCTTTAATTTTTTGTGATTTTAAGCAGGGTTTTCCTCAGCCCTTATGTGTTCAATTGATATAGAATGCTTACTAAAAGAACACCACAAAACGTAGGAATTAAGAGCAAAAATATACTTTCTGAATTGTGCGGCTCAGAAGTTTTGTATTCTGTAGTGGGAACTGTAAAAAGTAAAGTATTACCAACTCTCTTTGCCCTTTGTATAGCCTGTGTTAACCTTCCAGAGAAAAAGATCCTAATTGCCTAAGGACTGGGCAAAACCATAGCTCCAAACAGCTAATATTGCCTATAAACCTCATTTTGTCATTTTTTTGGCAGTTAACAGGAGTCATCTAAGCACATGGCAGGAGGAGGGAGGGCCCTTGGCCTCAGCATTCTGCCAAAAGCTGCTAGAAACCTTCTGCCTCCCATGTCACCAATCTGCTCAGGTTTAGCACAGAACAGGCTTGCGAGGAGAGCTCACCACAGCTCTTGTCCAAAATCAGAATCCTGGCATCACAAGTTTTTTGGTCAGCACTGGCCTTCTGCCACAGAGCCCAGTGTTTGACAGAGCAGAGCCTGCTGCAGGCTTCTGTGGACAGACCCCTGTAAGCAAACTTAATACCTCTTGAAGTTGCTTTAGGGCAGGCTAAAATTGCTGAGCTCTGCTGACTCTGCCTTTCTGGCTGGCTTATCTCTTCTATCAAATCTTGTCTCTAACATTGTCCCATCCTTCTTCCACTCACCTTTTTGACTAGCGGTATCAAGCCAAGAGTAAGAGTGAGGCAGGGCACTTTAGAAGTTCACAATTGTCCTTCTCATTTTCCTCTTCTAGTAAGAGGAGAAGCTGGTGGCAGTGAGAATTTATGGCATTACACAAATGTGTGGTGCAATATGAGCCCAGGGCAGAACTGTTTCTCCAATCCCAGGGAAGGAGGAGATCTCAAGTGATCCAAACCCTAAAGCTGTGCTAATTGTGCAAGCTGTTATTCAAGAATAAGCACACATCTGTCTTGGGAGCTTGGCAGTTAGTCCACAACTCTGGCACACCAGGGAGGGTCTGGTATCAAAATAGTCCCTGCAGATTTACAGAAATCGGGATCTGAGAATTTGTCCAGTGATACGTAAATGAGACAACTGACAATAATGGAAGGATTCATGGAAGTCAATGTGTTGGATTGCTGCCTGACAGATAGGGCAGCCTTGATATAGTCAAATGGTATTCTGAGAAACAGCAATATAATCTTATTTTCCATAGGCAAACTTGGCGTGCATGTACCATGGCGAAGTTTTATGGAACAAACCAGCAGAACATTGGATGGGATTTTTGGTTTAGGGAGGGTGGATATTTTGGTGTTTTTATAATGGAGGCAGGAGGAAAGGGAGTTGTTGAAAGATGCCTGGTATCAGATGGGCCATGGATCTACTGGAGGCTTAAACCTCTCACCATCACATGGAGACAGGCTTGGGTTGTATGTTGACTTTTGTGGTTGGAAGTGTACAAATGTCACTTGGAGGGCACATCATCCCTGTATCTAGAAACCTTTATAGTTCCTTTCATTCTTGTGGAAAAAAGGAGGAAAGGAGTTAGCTTTTATTTCAGCTTGTGACTGGTGTGCTAGGCTGGGAAACAAGTATTTGGTTCCTAGCATCACCATGCATTTCCCATGAGATCTTCTGGAAGCTGCAAAGCTCTTCTGTGGCTGAGTTGAGAAAGACAATGTGTAGCTACTTCATGTGGATATTTGGGGATTAATATATTCACGTTCGTCAAGCTGTTTAAGATCTTTGGATCAAAGAGGCTGTAGAGATGGGAAATACAATTGCTTGTTGTCAAGTGGCATTGTTTACTAATACTTTAGGGCTTTGTTTTCAAGGCATCTCAAAGTGTGTTTCTTTTTTTTTTCTTTTGCAAACTATAGCCTGGATTTCTTTTAAAACAGGTAAGATTTCTGAGAGCTCTTTAATTTCACAAGTATTTGCCAGCTATTTGACTATCTAGGCAGATCCAATGCAAAGCTAAGACTGAACTTAAAACATCTGGTGTCCCATAAATTGGCCTTTCCATGGAAAGTAGGACCCTGCAGGGCCTAAACTTTGGGATGGTTGCCAGAACCTGCAGGCCATCCCCTGGCATGCTGCAGGCTACAGCAAAAGCCATTAGGATCACTTTTTCTAAGGGCTAAGAAAAGGACCAGGAGCAATACAGATGTTATTACATCTGCTGTAGGACAGGTGCAATCTTGCTGAGCAGGTGGGATCCTGGTTCTTGGATTGCTTGCTGTCATAAAATTTTCTTTGCTTGTTCAAGTACAACACAGGACTGTAATTTTATATATCAAAGCCAACTAGTTTTTCACCTGGTAAGTAGAAATAATAACAATGCCATAGTTGCTATTTACCTGTTTCAATAAGGGATGTCTAAAGCCCTGTATAAAAGGGATCTATAGCTTGTTTTTAAAATGAGAAAATCAAGTTGCTGAGTGGAGGAGTGATTTCTCTGGGCAGCCAGCAAGCCAGCGACCAGACCCTGTTCCTGCAGCTCTTGTCTGAACGGTGCCGAAACTATCTCAGCACAGCATATGGGTAAAGCCTTCTGCTGAACGTGATTCCGCTTTTAATTTTAGCCTGAGCGTGGAGAGCCGGTGCTGACTGTGTTTGTGTGTTAATCCTTGCAGCTTTCAGCCGTGCCCCGGTGCCCATGGCTGTGGTCCGGAGGGAGCTGTCCTGCGAGAGTTACCCCATCGAGCTGCGCTGCCCGGGAACAGATGTGATCATGATCGAAAGTGCCAACTACGGCAGGACCGACGACAAAATCTGCGACTCTGATCCTGCTCAGATGGAGAATATCCGCTGTTATCTGCCAGATGCCTATAAGATTATGACTCAAAGGTACGGTGCTTAATATTCTTTGTTTGCTGACTGTCGATTTTTTAAATCCGGAGTGTACCCACCAGTTTGTGCGTGTGTTTGCATGAGGAAATGCAGGTGCTTAGTGTGGATGTGTGTGCACAGAATTACAGCTATCGTTGCTAAACTGTGGGTTTAACCAAGTTGGTTTAGCATCATGCAGTATAAATAACATTTCCTGTAAGTATTGCTCATCAGTCATCCTGATTCTCTGTGTCCCAGTTTTCCCTCTGAAATACCTTAATATCAAGGCTCTTAATGAATGTAGAAGTGATATCTTTCTCAAAATGCATATTCACTAGTTTTTGTGCTGTGTTCAAACAGAAGGCCAGTAATCTCCTTGAAACGATCAATATTTTGTGTTCAGAATAACATTTACAGTTTTGAAGACACAAAGAGGCATCTGCATCCTTCCTTGTGTTTGCCAGGCTTTGTTTTAAGGGAGGTCTGAATTTCTAGTCAAACATTGGTATTCTCATTGATGAATTGCTGAATTTCTGTATAATGACTGTAGCTGTTAAGTGTGGATGCTGCATTTGGAAGTGGTAACTGAGATACAGTCCGACATATAGACAGACTCCTGTCTTGCTTGCAGAGCCAGGGCCTAACAGCTTATTCCAATATAGAGGTATCTTGTTTATGAAAAACCTTTTAAATGTTGCTGAATTTTTAAGGGTATTTGCTGGCACAAATGGTGTTGTGGGAAGGATTCATAAGTCACAGCTCTTGACGTGTAAGTGAATTCAGTAATACATTCCTAATGCATGAAAAATTATTTAGTGCATTTGACTGTTAATTAGTAATAGAGATTAGTGTTTCAAGGTATTAATAATGGCATTGGCATAGGCAAAGTGTTGCTAATTGATGTCATGACAACATATGTTTGGGTCCTAACAGTGGCCTCATGGCTTAAAGCAGTGCAGGGTTTTAATGGAGCATCTTGCTGCTGTTTGCTGTGAAATGCTTTGCACTAAAATGGACTGATGGGAGCAACACAAGTTTCAGCTGTGTTTCACATGCTAACTGCTATTTTTGACTTCCTTGTAGAAACTGCCCCATGTTGAGTATTTAGGTCTCAAAATGTTGAGAGTCTTGTGACAAATGTCCCCACTGCTGCATGTGGCTCCTCTAAGACCATTCTTTAAGTTGGACCTCCTTGGGTAGCTGGTTGAATTCTTGTTTGTAGGGTTTGTGCCAGCTGCATTTTCGAGAGAAGTGGGAAGGGTAACATCGTGCCATCAGCCAGTGCCTTGGATTCTGTGTGGTTTTAGTGGAATTACTGTAATTCTCCTGTTCAGGTTGTTAGTGGCTTCAAGCAGAAACCCTTAATCCTCTGTATATTGGCAGAATAAAGCCATGTCATTCCCTTTGTGGCCTGTTACAGAGTACAAAGTATTAATATTTTTTTATATATCTATTTATTAGCGTCCTATAGGCCACAGTTCCCGAGCCAAATGCAGAGCTCTGCAAACTTCTGGTCAGTCCCTACATGTAGCAAGTCTGCAATAAACATTGGCCCTTGGGTCAGGGAGGGCACACAATTGTCTTCTGTGCCTGTGGCACTGCAATGAAAACTTCTGGTGATTACTCACCTCCAGGTATCATCACTGCAGGCTCAAATGGCTTAGCAAAGAGTTAGCAGGGATGCTTATCTCTGTGGTAAAATATCTCTGTTTTTCCATGTGAGCAGCAGAAAGTGGTGCTGAAGGGGATGGACACTGAAGGGGGGAAAAGATGTGCAGTCCTATTATTAGGTACTATTGAGTTTCTTGAAAATAAATATAATTCTGGCATTAAAAGGTAGGTAAAAAAGAATAAAATATTCTACTTTGCATTTTTGTCAGTCTCATTTCTTTTTTTAAGTCTCCATTAATTCAGAGAGTTGAAACAATTTAAAAATAAAGCCATTAAAATGAAATATGTTCTTAAGATGCAAACCAGTCTGTCAGCTCACAGCTCTGAGTACACTTTACAGCTGAGCCTCTGAAAAAAGTAGTTTAAAAGGAAAATTGTGACAGCCTAGTAGTTGTGGCACTAACTATGGCATTTTCTTCTGAAAAACTCTACCTTCAAAATTAATCAATCTAGCAGTATTTGGGTGGGTTTGCAGATGAATGCAAGCTCTGACACAGTGAGCTTGTCTCTGCTAATGCTGCAGGGTGGGTGAGCAGCTGCTGGGAACTGAAGATTGTCGTGACAGTGAAACCTGCTTGGTGATTGAAGCTGTCTGTGCATGGAAAGAAGAGTGGTATGCACAGTGTGTGCTTATTATGCATTGATTAATTATTGCATTCATAAATACACAGTCCCCTTGTAGGCTCCATAGTCAGTTGTCTCACTACTGGCAAATTTTAATCAGCAACACTGCACAGCCACCTCAGACTCATTCTGGTGTGGCTGTGGGCAGGGAGAGAGGGAAAGATGGGAAGGAAAGTGTGTGTGAGACAGAGGTGGTGTTACTGTGTGAGCAGAGGCTGTGAGTGAGCAGATTTATGGTAGATATTAGTGACTGCTCCCCCAGCCCACCCTCACAAAAAAAAAAACCTGAAAAAAACCCCCAAAATCCCAACAGCCTGAGCTAACATGTTCCTTTCTTCTGTATGCTTATATAAATTAATTTTTGCAGACGACTACATGAGGTTATTTTGAAAGGGAAATGCATAAATCTTACAGTGTGTTTGTGGAGCCCCCTAAGCAGAGGGAACACAAGGAGTTCTTGCTGCAAGTACTGCCCTGAAACTCTCTACAATCTTGGGAGTATTGCTTGAAGTAAAGGACATTTAAAGAGCTTGTAGGGAGCTATTTTATAGGACATTAAATCTCTGAGTCCTATTTTAGGTTTTTCTTTTTTATTTATTTTTTTAATTTTGCCAGCTCCTCCTTCAAAAATCCGAGAAGCTGTTGTCCATAGTAGCTCAGAAAGTGTGCTTTATGAACTGAAGTTTTTCTGATGCGATTAGAAAAAAAATGTATTTCATAGCATGTTTGCTGTGGAGAAACATCTTTGCAAGACCTGTAGCAACTAATTAAATTTTAACCCTGCCCATTGTAAATTGTGTGCACTGTACCATGGGAGACTTCTATGCCCTCTCTTGAGTGACTGTGCCACGAAATTAACATATCATCCATTCCAACAGCCAGGGTTCTCTGTGAGCAATGGGGAAAAGTGGCCTCCTATTCCTGTAAGAGTTGCCTTTGTTTTTTTAGTGTTAACACTGTTTAGTATATTAAAAGCACTCTAAAGGAAAAAGGGGGGAAAATAGCTTTTGCTGTGCTCTCTTGAATTTCCTGTTGATGCTTCCCACCAAGGAAGCATCTTGGGTTGAAAGCAAGGGAAGAAAGAAGAGGGGATCAGGTTTTTGCATGTGTGTTCACAGAACTTTGTGCTATCAATACCACCTTTGCATTTAACTTTGAAGTTTGGAACATGCTTTTCAATAGACTTTAACCTCAAATGCTGAAAAGGTTGGGGAGAGGAAGTCCCAGTAGAAACAGTAGGAAGTACCTGACATGTAGGTGCACATACACAGAGCACTTTGATTTTGTGCTCTAAAGGCAAGAGCAAGGCTTTCCTTTTGCTTTTTGGATCCTTGTCTACTCCTGCCATCATCTGCTACTCTTATTCTGGAGGAAGGAAAGGAGGGATGGAATAACGAGGCAAAATGACAAAACCAGCAGGCAGAGCAGAAGAGACGGGATAAATGTTCACAGGTCTCAGCAGTTTTTCTCAAGATCAAAGCAAAATTCTTTCTGCCCTAGAAGATGTGGAAGGCTCTTGCTGGGGAACTCTCATCTCTCTCAACAACCAGAGAGCTCAGTTTGCAAAGTAGGCAGCGTTTGCCTTTTGCCACAGCAGAGCCATGCAGAGCTCTTATATGCTGCTCTTACCACTTCTGGCTTGGGGATGAGGGCTGCTGAAAGCTGCTCAGCTATCTCCTGGCTTTTTCCCTGAAGGGAGGCACAGCTGGGAGCTACTAGATGTCCTGCTGGGCCTGCAGTAGCTTAGCTGAGCTAATTTCCTTTAGGTTTCAGTCTGATCTGCATGGCTTGTCCCTGTGGTTTCAGTGTTGACATCATTGATGAGGATTGCAGGTCAAGACTTAAAGGGGAAAAAAAAATAGAAAAAGTGCAAGACTGCAGGAATGTAAGACTGTGGTCAGCTGCTCTTAGATTTCCCTTCTGTTTCATCCAAAGGCCTAATCCTTTTATGTGAGAAGGGCACTCACAATTCTCTTGGTAGTTGGAGGGATGGTAGCAGGCACTTTGCACAGTGTAGGGGAGAATAAATAAATTGAATGAAGCAGCTTGCATTACACTGCAAAGATTTTTCATCTCCTGAAGGGCTATTTTGCTAATGTTTTTGGTTGATGACCTGAAAAATGCAGGAGTCTGAAATGAGTGCCATTATTATTGTAATAATATTGCATCTCATGGCGTGCTGTTATTGATGTTATCATCTCCTGTGATTTTCAAGACACTTCTCAAATGTCAGTGATCTGCACTTGCATTGGGAAATAAAGAGGCAGGATTACCTGTGTTTTACAGATAGGATCATTCACATTGGTCATTCATAAAATGGCTGCTGGTTTTGAACAGACTAGTTTGGGATGTTCTTGTAGAGTCATGTGTATTAAGTAGCTCATTGCAGTGCATGTGGGAAGGTGCAGAGGGCAGGAGAGCTGCAGACCTGGAGGCTCCGTGCTGCCAAGGCCATCAGCAGGACTCAAGGGGATGGCTTCAGCTGAACTGCAGCACAGTTGTGTCAGGCTCTACGAAATTAATGGCATATTTCTTAGAAAACAGCCCCCTGCTTAGGTGCTGTCATCACCTCTGACTCAGATACTGAATGCCCTATTTGGTAGGAACCCCCCACCATCCTCCTCTGCATCCTGAGCACATTTGGCTAAGACTGCCAAGATACTACTCATTTTTCTAAATTTGTTACCACACAGATGGCGTGAGAAGTACATTTCTGAAGGACT